TCTTCCCCCCTTCCCCTCTCCCCTGCCTCAACTTCACTCCTTCACTCCTGACTCCTCTACCCACCCCAGTGGGCATGGGGGGCTATGGTCAGTCCAGAACAGTTCCTCTCTGCTGTTCCTTCCTCTTTACACTTTTCCCCTGCTGTTGCATTGGCTCTCCATGGATCACAGTTCTCATCAGGAAATATCCGTCTGCTCCAGTGTGGGATCGTCCAAGGGCTACAGTGGGAATACCTGCTCTACTGCGGAGAACCTTCTCCTTTCTGTGACTGTGGTGTTCTCTCTGTTATTTTCACTCTATTTTTCCCCTTCCTTCTCTGCAGCTCCCCCACTATCAAAACCTTGCCATCTACACCCAATACAGATAATAGTGCTGGTCGCAGTAATGAAGAAGGTGTCAGAATATCTTCAGAAGCCTGTGCTCAGTTTGGAACAGTCTTTTTCCCTTAAGGCCAAGTGACTACTACCCAGAATCTGTGAATGATGAGCCACTGTGAAGAAAAATGGGAATAAAACCCACTAGATTTTAATGTGTAATTCTCTCATAATCTAAATAAAGATAAAATTCACATAGATTCTCAGTTAAAAATTCTTACAAAAGCAAATGCCATGCTAATAAAAATTTAATTTCTATGATAATTTTTCACACAGTCTGGACAGAAAAGAAAAATGTCATGTGTTTCTGATTGAGAGCAATTGCTGATTTCTTCTCAACTTTTAGAGTTATTTAAATCAAAGGATTTTTCTGTTTTCCCTTGAAAAGCATTGGTTTAGGCAAACACTCTCAGTAGTTGATCTGTAGCTGATCTTGTAGCGTGATGCTCTCTACAGAAAGGATTGTCTGAGAATATGAGAGACTGAGGATCTGTCAGTCCCTAATCAAATATACTGCTTTTCTGCACTAATTTAATCTCTAGAAGATATCGAGAAGTGTGATTTTTTTTTTAACAGCCTTGCTAAAAAACACTGATACTATTTTGTAAAATGAAGTTGTGCCTGCTGTTACTCCACAATATGTCCCTCCATTCTCCATTGCTGCATTCAGATAGTATATCTTCACCCTTAGCCTCTCCCACAAGTCCTTTAGAAAACACACAAGATAACTTTATTCTTATACTGGCAGTACATAAAGTGACCTTACCTTTTGGGTTACAGGCCCGTTTTTTTCATATGATGCTCTGGCATCCTGAAACGTCTTGGCTTTTCATTTCATCAGTCAAACCATTTGGCTTTATGTTTGTTGAATGAGTGATATTGTAATGAGTAAAACTGGCTCTTTGATTTCCAGACCGGGGGAATGAAAGTTCAGTAGGATATGCCCTTTACAGAGAAAAGTAAAATTACTATGTAGACTATCAAATCCAATCTTGTATTCAACAATACACAAGCGCTTGATCAGTTTCTCACAGCAAGTTCACTGAGATACTAAGTTAGCTTTGGGAAAAAAAGAGAGGAAGAGGGTATTCTTCCAAAAGAAAAAAGTATTTGTGGCTGTCAAGGAAGCTGCTTGCAGCATTGACTCTGCCACACTTTTCTTGAAATTGTGCTTTTTGAAGACTATTTCTTAACCCTAGAAACTCTCACTTCACATGTCACAGTTTTAGGATCTTTTAAGTAGTGCCTCTTTCATCCCCCATCATTTTACAGGTTAGTTTTATTTGTGTGAGTTCTGTTTGCTGCAGTGGAATGGCTCCTGCTTTACACTGAGTTAGAGCAGAACTGCTTTCATATGCTTTTCCTTTAAAACTTCAGCTTTGGGAAGTCAGAAGAACGTACTGAAGCTACTCAGTTATTACAGCATTCTTGCTCATAAAGTTTGCTTCCCCATATAATCATGTCATTAGCAGAGGCATCCTAAAGCAGTCTGGCTTGTCACTTTAAACTAAAATCCCTATTACCTGCTGTTATGCTTGGTGTTTTGAGTGGGAGCAGAAGTTTGGGCACTGGCATTGACAGCTCCAAAGGTTTCAGCCTTCCAAATTAAATAATTGTTTAAATACAGACACAAAAATGGAAGAGCCCTTTGTGGGATCTTTCATAATATATTTCTAGTATTTCCAGTAAGTGTTCTCAGGGATCCAGCCTGCACTGAGAAATGGCATAAACCTCTCAAGTCAAAGATTTTATTTTTAAAATAAAAGCAAGATATAATGTGTTAGAAGTTACCTTGGTATCCAGACATAATGAAATGAGGTGTATTTCTCCATCCCCAATTTGCACATGATATAAAAGGGGTCAGTTTAACAGAGTGTAACTTGCAGTCAACAGCTTCCCAAAGCACTCAAAAAAATGTATCTTCTCATTTTTAATCAGATTTATGAATAGATAGGGATGTTTTTATATGCACTTGGAAGTCTCTTACCCTGCAAGTTGGCCCATTCACTGTGATTTTTCTTGGAACATGGTACTACCCAGGGTACCTATGCATATCATAGCCTCTGCCATCATTTTTAATAAGTAGCTTATCTCTGTGATGCAACTAAAAGCAATCCTGAGTGTCTCCAGGGTTTGTTGTAATTAAATTTTATTGTTGTATTTGAAAATGTACAGTTTTTGAAAACTGGAGCAAGAAAAAATGGAAAGAAGATTCTAGGTGATAGTCTGGTTTTTTAGAAGGTTTTAACCCTTTGTAGTTTCCAGACTCACCAGCTTACTTATGCTCCCCAAGCAACTGTTCCTACACGCAACTGAAGCCATAAACTATAGCAGCTAGTGTAGTTTATTAGCTGATGTCAGGTAACCATGCAAAGATTATAATTTATACCTGCAGTCAGATGCTGTAGGATCATAGGTGCAGTAATTTGTGGGTGCCTAATAAGATTGTAGAAGGCCTTTTCTGAAAGTCTTACACTTTTGCTGCTGCCCCTTTCTTCTCCAAGTATTTACAGCTACAAGGGAATTACTCCAAGTCCCAGTGCTGCCCATTAAGTGCTGTGGAGAAAAGCAGGTTTACCAGCTTCTGATCTGGACAATAAAGAAATGTCACTGGTTTGAGCAGAAAACTGACAAGTTTATCTATTCTCTTATCTGGCATTGTACTACTGTGCTCAGGCACCACCACCCAAGTCACTGAGGAGTGCATGAAGCTACATTTGGGCTCCCACCTTGTGCAGTCAGCAGATCTGCTTGCACTCTGCATTCAGGGACTAAGCTTTACCTTGGTCATTTTGCCCTTCTCCGCTCTCTTCACAGCTCATCAAGACTGCTAATGAAGCAGTCCTTGCAAGTTCCCCCTTTGTGTTTTATTCCTGCTTGGTTTTCTTGCCATGAGATGCCATTGACTGGTTTTGGAGATTAATATAACAGTTTTTTCCAAATCAAAATATTTCCTCCAACAATGCCATCTTTTCTGTCCAACATTGCTACTAATCTTTATTTAGTTATTTACTTTACAATTTCTAGAGGGATTGGATGTGCCCAAGGCGCCCCTTTAGGCAACACTTTATATCAAGGTTCCATTTATAAATACTTCATGAAGGGCTAATGAATGATTAATAGATGTTTTAATGTATGACCAATCAATTGTTGTAGATTTCGCAACATCTAACAGACAAGTAGGTTTCTTATAAGCATGGATTATAACCATATCTGACATCTTCTACTGATGGGCTTCTGAACATCTATAACATACACACTACTCATATCTGTAACATGCTTAAAACATCTACTAATCACTGATTAATTTTTTATAACCTATTTTGAAGCAGAGCCTGTCTGTAGAGTACACCCCTTACTGGTGCCTGCGAATCTCCATTTCTATAGGACTGATAATTTACTCATCATCTAAGGACTTAGAACTCCAACTAATTTCAGCTCAAACATTAAGCTTTTCTGAGTTAGCTTCAGCATTTTCACCTCAGCCTAGGAAAAAATGTCTTTGCTGTCCCAAGACTTTTTTCCTTCTCAACTATTTCTGGCTATTTTACCCTGCTAATGCTCATTTTGCAAGCTCTGCTAAAGTGCAACGATTCTTAGGGGGCAAACCCACTCTAAAATACATTTTCAACCTGTTGAACTCTTTTTGTTTGACTGTTCTCAGGACAGCTGCCCCAGTGATGACAGTTCCCAGCATTTCTTTTTAAATTTATTTTTTACCATCATCCTCAAGTGCTCGGTTCAAAGTTTGTCCGTTCTCAGAAAAGGATGAGAAGGTATAAACTTCACAATAATCTGGTGAACAAGCCATCTCCCAGAGGACATTTGATTCTGACAGAGGAACACAAATTTTGTATGTTTGATAAGCCCAAGTGTTGACAGGAGTGTTCCTCTGTGGGATTCCCATAGTTTCCTATGGTGAAATCCATGACCGTGCTCTATGCTTTATATGGAGCACGCAGGTAGAACCAACTGCAGTACTTCCTGAAAATTAGAGTCCTGCAATTAATGATTAGCAGTTGAGAAGCACTATGTTGCTTAGTATCATATTTTGCAAATGAATTTTGAATTTTTAGTCAATTTCTACTGAACTTAATCACAGGGTTGAGTCCTCTACCATGATTTATCTAGACGTTGAGACCAATTTTTGGTGATATAAATTAAAAGGATCTGCAGGTTTTTCTCATTTCTGGGGTAATTGGTAAAATAGTCTCTGTTCTGAATATCCCCAAGTAAATATCTTACTCTCATTCAAATCAATTGCTAATCTTTCACTGATTGCTGTTTACAGCAGGATTAGGCTGCTACACCTGTGGCATAAGCACACTGAACCCAAAGAAACACATTAAACATAACTCAAAAAAAAAAAAAAAAGGGAATAAAGGGTAAGAAAAGAGAGTTTTATTCTTCAATATTAATATGGAATTTCCTCTGGCTTTTTAAAAATAATTCATTGTCAAAGACACCAAAGCCTCAGAAATAACAGCCTCTCAAAACTAGTCAAGCTCTTGGAGTAGACAGTTTTTTACCCACGTTAGCACCGTCACTTTTATGTTATCCAGTTAGCACTCTGTGTTTCTGTGTTTTTCAGGGTTTTTACCGTGATCTTTTCTTTCTTTTTTCAGCTGGTTAATAATCCGCCGGCTGCAGCTGCAGCAGCCATGGGCTCAATAGCAAGCTCCCAGGCCTTTGGCAATGCCCTCTCCAGTCTTCAGGGGGTCACAGGTCAACTCGTCACTAATGCACAAGGACAGGTGAGTAGAAGATGGAGCAAACAGTGAATTCTGATGGCAGGCTGATCTTGGGACAAAAATGAGTTCCGCTTGTATGACAGCAATTTAAAAGTGCACATATTGAAGATAAATAAATATTGATTTGCCAGACAAAGTAAGAAATGGAAAGTCTGAGAACAGGTAGGAAGTTAGGAGCTGTTAGAAAGTGTTTTCAAGCCAGAAAAAAAGCTTAGGGTTTGTTTTATTTTAATTCAGCCTTTTGAAAAAGATCACAATAGTGCAATAATATGGTATTTTAAAAGTCCAGCAACCCTGTGATTCTAAACAAACATACCAGCTGTCTTCTTCCACTTATATATGCCTACTAACAGACAACTGTATTAAAGTGCTACTGTACTATTAAGACTACACTTTTTTGCAAATTGTGGCATTTCTGTATTACTTAATTTCTAAAAAGGTATTAAATCTTTTAAGTGAAGGAACACAACTTAAGTTGTAATGGGACAGATTTAACTGTGTGGCTTACTCTTTTGCTGATTAACTAAGTTAAGCAATTTGCAGTGAATCTGCCAGTCTGTAATGCAAATTTGGGAGAAACCTTTTCTTTAAAGCAAATTTTCCAAACAGAAACTTAAACAATGTTTATGGTGTGCCTAAGAGAGAAATTGTGCATTATCTGCATTTGGGAGCTGTTTATTTGTTGCAAACTATTTCAGTTTCAGTCTGAATATGATGTAGAAAGGTCTGCATCTGAATCCATATATATATAAATAATTCCATTGATGTAGCATGCTTAAGTAGCTTTCAGATTGTGGCCACTGTCATTCTTTATTGCATTTACTAGGACTAAAATTAACACAACTACTTGCTTCACATAAAGTCACTGCAATAAATCTGTCCATTTAACTTATGACTGGACCTGGTAGCTGAGTAATTTGAATGTCATTATTCTAAATGCTACAAATGGGGTGATATCCACAGTGCTTATGTGGATGTTAGGCCCTGGTAAACATTTATTGGAATGATGCAGCTTGGATGATATGTGAATCTAAAGTTTAGTTTCTACTCTTTCTGTTTACTATGGGGAAGAAAAAAAAAAACATGAAGAACAGTTTTTTTCCGGGTAATTTTCTATCACCATGTTATTTAACTGGAACAGGACTGACATTTTTTATTTTGGCCCATTAAAAACCAAGAGACAACACTTTATAGGAGCCCCCTCCCCTTTTTTTTTTACCATAACACATAAACAAAGATGCATCCTGAGCTTCACTATCACCATCCAAGTCCCAGAAAAAAAAATGCTGACCTTGTTATATTTACTGGGTGGGTGCAGAATTGTTCCATCACTACCCCGAGGGTTGAACGATGGAGCTTGTCAAAGTGAGGCCTTATCTAATGAATCATCTTATCGCAGGTGCACACCACACATATTAAAGGAGGATTGTATGAACAATGTGCCCTCTACAATAACCTTTCAATGTCTACTTTAACCCTTGTTTCAATCCCTTTTCATCAAAGGATCATTTTATGCAGCCAGCTTTAAATGGAGGCTCTCAAAAGCCTATTAAGATTTCTGGAGGGATGGGGTATTGGTTTGGAAGAAAAGTTGGTTATAATACCTATAACTCATAGTCAGATCAGCTCCAACCTAGAAGCCTGCTTGTTTCTATCTGTGCTCCAGAAATGGTTCACCATCGCCACTCACATGAGGCACATGGCACCAAAGATGTTCATTCTAAGAGCTGAAGATATAAACCCAGACTAGTTTTTCAATAATTTTCCCTTTACACATTCTCCACAGAAAACTTAAGTGCAGCCATTCATTGTCTGTTTAAAGAAAATACTACTGTGAAGGTATTGCTGAATGAAACTATAGATTCCTTCAGGCTGAGTCTTGTTTATTCCACACATAATGTAAAGTCCAATAATTCCACAGGTTGCAGAGAAAGAGAAGAGAAAAGAAGAATCTTCCCTATTGTTGGATAAAATTACAGAATCTATCTGTTTGCCTAGCTCTTTTAAATAAGGGCTGCCTTTTTATTACTTGTTTTTACAAATGTTCCTTGGTTTATAGTCAGCACTGCAGACCTCACCACAATATAGATAAATATTGATAAGAAGTGTGTAATATAACACCCATTTTTATAATATTCAGCATAAACCCATATTGCTTAGAGCATACTTCTGAAGCTATCTGTCTACAAAACAGGACTATTCAGTGTAATTAAACTACATTCTGGAAATTAAATTACATTCACTTGCAAATTAATAAAATTACAGCAACTAAACAAGAAGTGGAAGGTATGTTTCTTCAAAATTGGGAGCGTAAGTGAATAGTAATTTGGGATACTCCATTTCTGAATGGTCTGCTTGGACTCGTTAAGGAGACAGATTTCCATCATATGTTAAGAATCTGCCCTTTAAAAATTGCCCCTTTCAAAGAATCACACGTGTGACGCTCAAGATTCATTCCTGCAAATATGAGGCTGAATGACTTACCAGACTGTATGTGCAATCTTTGTAATTATACACTGCTTCTGTTATAGAAATTCAGGACTTGTAAATGTACATCTGTCTAGCTGAGTATATGGTGATCAGTAATTCCTGGAGACATCGAGCTGTGGGTCAAATCCAAGATCCTATGGCAAATTTAGGGAAATATCTTTTAAATGACATATGGCATGGCCTTAATTCCCAATAGTTTAGGAGTTCTTACAATCACAGTAAAAAATTATATGTATTAACAGTCATTTATATAGCGTATTTGTTATAAATTTAATTATTGAATTCACAATTACGGTATGGTAATTTTTTTTTTTTTTTTTTTTTTGCTTTGCTTTGGATGGCAATATGAACTGAAGTACCAGACCCCACCAAGACCACTGTAGCAAAGAGATCGAATCCATTGGAATAATATGACTAGATCACCTGACTAATTTGGTATAGTACAGGTAGAGGATTCTAAATCAAATTCTCATTTTCAGAGGCATATTATGAGGAGCTATTGGCCCATGTAACGCTGCTTACATTCTGTTTGCCCTCAGCACTTTCCAGAAAGCATTTGCAGGACTGGGCTTTCGTATCTTAAATTTGAAGTCCAGGGTAGCAGAATTGCTAGATTCTACCCTTGTCAATAGATACACTGATTTCAAGGAGAAGCTGTCTACCTGCTCAACTTCAGTCTGCCCTTATAGTAGGATCCTAGTGCCATTGCTGCACTTGGATTCTTCAGAGATATAGCAACCATGCATTTCTTTTTCACTCTGTTATTGCAAATGAAAGAAAATACTGGGAGTTTGTACTATTAAGTACATGAAATGTGTATTTTGGCTGTTTTCTTAATCTTTGTAAGGAGATGAACCACAGAAATATGGAAGCAAGGTTGATGCTTCTGGTTTCCATAAGTTCCACCTCCAAGCCAGTTTCCTACTTGGCTAAAACATAGTGCTTAATTGTCAGCAGTTGCATTCATTTAAGTCCTTTGACTTCAACAGGATCAAACACAATTTAACTATGGGTGCTGAGTAACTTTAATTTCTTTTTTGGAAAGACAAAGTTGTCTAATAGGAGAAAAATTTAGCAACTGCAAAATAAGATATTATGAAGTAGCTTGATAAGAGTTGGCATTATGAACTGTCTCATGGTTAAAGAGGGCAATAAATTCTATTTCCTGGTAGGCTGCTAGGAAAACCTAAGTAAGTGTGGTGTAATTGTACAGTACATACTTTAACAGAACAGTGAATTTAATTGGGATGGCATCTGTATAATCTAAGAATGTCCTTGGAGGAACTTGGGCTTCATTGTGCCCATGCCTTGGTCTTTAGATGCGAAAACCTTCTGTATATGAAAAACCTTGAGCACAGCTACACCCTGGCAATTAACAAAAAATAACTAATTTTTGAGAGTTGTAATCCACAAGTAGCTCAGGAAACTAAATAGAAAGAGGGGCATTGTTGATCCGATTAGATAATAGGAGTACTTTGGTTCTCATTATTCTGATGAGAGGGTACACGTTTGGTCTTTAAGCTTCTTGATGGTAAATGGTGCTAATGAGGCCTGATGGATTCCTTGCTCCTAACAAGCCTCTCAGCAGTGCAAGTGATTACAATGGAGATAGATTTGATGGGATGCACTCCCTTTTGTAGTGTCTCAGCTGCTGACACTCTGCGACATAATCAGGTCACAGAGCCGGTCACAGCCATCAGCAAAAGCCATAGCTCTATCCCTCATTATTAAAGTGCATTATTCAGTTCCAGGCCTTCACAATACTGCCAAAGGCCTTTTTTTGTCTTCTTTTTTGTTAAGCATCAGTTCTCAAATACAAGGGTTAATAAAATCATCAGCTAAAGAACTAGTAAATTAAAGAAATGGAAATAAAGCGCTCCCTTTCAAATTCGTTGAAGGATCACAATTAAATAAGCAGGGAATTTCTCATCACCACACAGTGTACAGTACAATGTAATATGTCATGTGCAATAAAAACAGGGGATAGGATTTTAAAAAATAGCATTGTCCTTGTTGTGGACTGGCTTATAAAGCGCTGAGGTATCTTTCATTCAGAAGGGAATTTCTGTCCTCCCAACTCTTACATATGTACATGGAGATACTATTTTCACCATTTTTCTCTAACTACTTTTTTTCTGGCGTGGTAAGAATTACTTACAAACTGAGTTTATAATTTTAAGTGTAGCAGCTGTCTTGTCTTAGTTATAGTGGCCAAGGCCACAGTCTGGAAAATATATGATAGCCCATTGTGCTAGAACCATTCTGTTCCCATAGACAAGGCCATTGCCTTCTTTTGGAGGGTGAGCTAATTTCAAAATTGTGTGGAAAAAAGGTGATTGTAGCATTTTCTTTCTATTCTGATTATATTCAGTTGGGGCTGTCTCCCCTCCAAGAGAAAATACACTTTTTAAGTCTAAGGTAGACTTTAATGCAGTTTAGTTAAACAAATGAGAAAGAAATGAGTAGAGAACCCAATTTTATTATTTATTTGTTTATTAGCTTTTTGTTTCAAT